TCCCCCCCCCCCCCCCCTCGCCACACCGCCCGCTCTGACCTTCTGACCTTCGGGTGTCCGGGTGCCCTGCTGTATCCCAACCTGCGTGTACGTCTTGGGGTGCGTACATGTATGATAGAGCTCAGGCTCTGGAGCCGTTGTTGGACGCCCTGGCCCGCAAGGCGTACGCCCGGCTTCACAAGGAGCTGTCCTTCGAGCTCGGCGAGATCTATCAGGACCTGGCCGACATCAAGACATTGAGGTGGGTTGCACTGGCATGGTGGTGGCGCTGGGTGTTCGGCCATGTCGGACGGCATTTGTAGCTTTGGTGGTATTGTGTAAAGGGCGGGGGTGATCGCCCTGCTGCTGTTGTTCGCGGCGTTCGTTTGTCGCAGTGCAGCCAGGTATCGTCGTCTGGGTTGGGGGCAGGTTTCGTCAGGGTTGGGACAGAAATCATCAGAGCTTGCTTCGGCATCACGATCTCAAAGGGGGTCGGCGGACCGCCAAGCCACTGCCCCCATGCCCTCCCCAATACGCCCCGCCCCGCCATCGTCGTGCACAAGTTTTCGTTCAGGCGTGCTATTTTTTCTGCTAGCCGCACCCGATCCATCGCTCTGTAGAGGTAGACAGCAACCGACTCTCTTCACCCTCTCTGTTTCCCCTTGCCATCAACTCACCTCACACAAGAGCCTCCCCCGTGTCGGTATTGTCTTTGGGGTGTTTTTTCGTTTTTCCTTGTTCGGTCGGCGTCTGCAGGGCGGAAGAGAAGCTGAAGTCTGGGGGGACGAGGGCCCCCACCGCGCTAGCGTCCGACCTCCGTGGGGCCAACAAGCTCCTCAAGGTACACCCATGCACAAACTGTTGCAATACATGTATAATTTACTGGCCGTCGTAATTTCTCTGATGTAGTAGAGGCCACGTCGTTTTCTTGTGGTAGTTGCGGTCGCGTAGTTTTTTTTTTTTTTTTCGCTGATGGTTTGATGACGAAAAGGATCGGGCTTTGTTGTTTTCTCTCGCGCGGAAAACACGATCGCTTTTGCTTGTGGCCCCGCTCCGGATTGCCTACAAATCAGTCACCACCACCGTAGCAAAGGCAAGGATGCATCCTTGTGAAACGTACTAGTCTGGGGCCGGCGAATCGCTCTGTCCCGGCATTGTAGGGCTGCGAGGTCGGTCAATTGTCTAACGACTACGGCATGCGTTTACATGAGTACCCCCCCCCCCCACCCCACCCCGGCGTCATCCAGAGCGCCATAGGGTTCTTCTCGCACTTCGTTGCGATGTACCACGAGGGAGACCCAAGCGGGGGCTCCGCGGAATCGCCGTCTCAGCCGGCGAAGGGCATGGAGCCGGACGAGGCCGTGGGTTACCTGCAGGCCAGGTTCATGCGCGCTAGGCTCAACGGCAAGCTTAGGCCCCTGACCAGGTGGGTGGTTGAGAGAGGGACAAAAGTAGTGTTGCATAAATCATCGTCAGAACGCACGGCCACCCAGTTTTGAGCTTTTATCTTCAAGGAACAAGTTTGTGTGGGTACTGCGTGTTTTCGCCTCGTTGGTTCGAGCTCTCAAGGATGGCCGTCGTCCGTTCGTTCTGCGAGCGCAAGGCTCAAAGACGGCGAAAGCTGGCGGAGCCTCCGTGTGAACTGCCGGAGCCCCCATGACCACGCGTGAAGAGCGACGAAGGGAACGAGCATGTTCGTCCTCCGATGTACCTGGTAGTGCCTTTGCGTCACTGCCGTGGTCTTGTCCATCAAGATCGCGAATTGTGTGGCTTCGATCGTGACTGTAGGGCCAAAGGGTCAGTACTTGACCGAAGTAAGCTCGGATCGACCGACATGCGTCACTGGTGCTGGTTCTCCCGCTTTTTCCTGTCCACATTGTTTTCGCTTGAATTATTTTCTGCATGGGCAGGAAGAAGAAAAACAAACGTAGGGTTCATTAACCGTTTCAGGCCCAATCCCCCCCCCCCCCCCCGCCGCACTCGGTGTTTGCCATCGGGATTGGGTTTTCGTCGCTTGGCAACGACGTTGTAAAAAAAGCCAATTCACTTCGTGAACTCGGCAACCAGGTTACCGTTTTTTTTTTTTACCTCGTTTTTTTTTTTTGCGGTAACCATGAATGGTGGTCGAGTAGATCATGTTGTGCGGGGTCGAGAAACCTCACTCCGCGCAACGGGGGATGATCGCACCACGTTGTGTTAAAATGGTCAAGCTTCCTCGAGGCAGTTACACAGTGCTTACAACTGTCTCTGGAAGTGAAAGCACCAGAAAATAAATTAAGTCATACGCAGCTGTCATCCGTACGCCAAGGAAGTAAGCACAAGATGCCGAACACCCTTAGCAGGATGCAGCTCACCCTTCATGCGACTCGCCAAATACCTCACGGCGCTTCGCACTTGGTGATGTGAGAGCCTGGTCCGGTGAGAACCCGGCGTGCTCCGTCCCGGTTTTGTAGGGATGCGAGGTCAATGGTCAAACGACTACGGCATGCACGACTATGAGTACACCCCCCCCCCCCCCCCCCCC